TACCTATAATATGTTGTAAAGCTGTGTGGACAGTGTTAGGCTAATATCCCGTTCCCTTTTGAACCCTCGGTCACCTTTAACTTTTACTTGGTAAGATTTAGAGCAGGAGGGACGCTTATGCTTCTTTTTCTTTAGTTTTACTGTGAAAAACGTTTAAACTCGCTTCATATTTGTATCTTCTTTATTTCAGAGGGAGGAAGCTGAAGCAAAAGCCCGCGAGGAGGCCGAGCGTCAGCGCATAGAGAGGGAGAAGCACTTCCAGAAAGAAGAGCAGGAGCGCCTGGAGAGGAAGAAGGTGAGGCCAAAGAGAGAAAAACATCATCTGTAGAGAGTTCAGAAAGTTACAGACAGTTCACAGTCGAACTGAAAAGCAAGAGCACTGATCTCTCTGTCTGATCTGCACAGCGCCTCGAGGAGATCATGAAGAGGACTCGGAAGAGCGATGCGGGAGATAAGGTCGGTGTGATTCATTCGAAACAGGCTCCAGACTGAACACTTGCTCGTCTTCGTGGAATAACACGAGTCTTGTTCTGCTCTTTGCAATCACAGAAGGATGTCAAAGCGTCTCCTCAGGTCAACGGAAAGGACGCAGAGCCGAGTAAAGGTAACAGTCACCCCTCGTCAACCTTTAAATCAGTCACAAAAGAACACGTGTACTCATTCACACGTTTCTACTTTGGCTTTTTCAAAGATTATATCCACCTTTGTGAGATTGTCACCTGGGGCTTTTCCAACCCAAAGGTCTATTACTAACCCAGGAAATATACTGTATATAATAAATGGGCATTCTTTCTTTGGCTTTGAGGTTCCACCAGACAATGGAGTGCTAATATAATGCTAGTGCATGCCACCACAGTAGATTAGTGTGGTGAAACCTGAGATGACCTTATAAAAAGGCAGTTTATTTCTTCTGTTGTGACACGGGAGGGTGTGCTGTTGTTTCGGCTTGTCGTGTACCTCCTCTTTGTTGTAACCGGACACAAAACACAGACACTGGCAGATTTCCCTGCAGGAGATTCCTGCAGATATAAACTTTGATAAAACCTCCGGTATCTGTTTCCTGCATCAGCTTCTTCCCTTCCTGTTCCAGGACTGAACTTTTGTCTAAGCTTCTTGATGCATTCTCAATCATCCAGGAAAATAAATCTCCAAAAGTTGATTCTGTTCATCTGGACGTAGCGTTTTCTGGGAGAAACCTTTCGTCACTCATCCAAGTGACTTCTTCAGTCTCGAAGAAGCGTGCAAGGCTGCAGAAAACGCTACGTCCAGATGAACAGAATCAATTTTTGGAGATTTTGTCTAAGCTGCGACACCTTAGGCATGAGCAGAAATGTTTTGTGGGCGGCATGTCCACCAGTATGTCCAACCTAACTGGATCATTAGGGAAAACTACTTTTACTGACCCAAAGAAATCATAAAGAGCCAAAAGTAGAAAAAAACCTCTCTAAACTTGACCTCTTAATGCAAAAGGAAGCCTGGAGTTTTGTCTCAAAGCAATTAGCTGCACATACAATAATCTTGTTATTTGAGATTTTGGTAGATCTTGGCTATTTTAACAGTTTACATATGACAGAGACTAAAAAATATTAAAGAAAAGGCTGCATTTAATAAGTAGATGTGTCCAAATGTTAGACTGATTCTGTAAACATCTGAAAAGGTTGTTTATGTCCTTTACTTGTCCACTAATTTCTCTGCAGCTCCTGGAAACCTGCAGGCCCCCAGTGCATCAGTGCTCAACCCAGCACAAAACGTTTCCAGCCCTGTTGTTGTAAACGGCGTCCAGCCCTCCGTGCACCAAAACGGCGTCTCAGCCAACGGCACTGACTTCGAGGAGCTCATTCAACTGAACAACAGTGGCGGCAGCGGTAACCCCAGCCAGCAGCAGAGCGGGCTGGTGAGTGAGCCGATCATGGCGTTCGAGGGAGGAGAGCCCTTCTTGATGAAAACAGGCCCCATGAAGCCTCAGCATGTCGCAGGTACAGAAACACAACATCAAACAGGAATGTGAGCAACAGGGTGGCTGCTTATCAGTCCTGCCCATCTACTCTAAAACATATGGTAAACATCAGCATGCTAATGTAACAAGACTACAATTCTGTATCTTCCCAACAACACTGTGTTATTGTTGCAGGAGTAGGTTTACTTTTACAAATCAGCTGCACACGAATGTTTCTCATGGTAACAGCAGCTCCATTATTAGCTAAACTTTACAAGAGAACACGCCACCCTCGGATAAGAATCGAGGACCAAACCCAGTGTGGCAGAAGTGAGACATAAACCACTGCTAGCTTAAGAACATTAGAATATAGAAGGAGTTTAATATGAGGTACGGAATTCTCTGAACGCGATGCACATCATCTGCACAAGCGTCCGGATCTATTTTTGAGGAATTCCTGGATGACAACCGCCTCTGATGAACATGTCGGGCCAGCATGTGCCAGATGTGTCACAGTGCCACAGGTGCATATTGAGTTCCTTATACTGTGAGTTTTATTTTCAATATGAAACAATGATTTTTAAAAAAATGGAAATTAAATTGAGGTTAAGTTAAAGAAGAGTAGAAAAGAAGACCGAGGTTGGGCAAGAGAATCATTCAAATGGCATTAATAAATCATATTTACACATAAATCTACGAAGCAGCTGCACAGAAATATGTGTGAAGGGTGAGTTCACCTGTCGCAGAAAGAAGAGTTATTGTTCAGTTATATGGAGAACAGTAGGAATGATTTCCTGAAGCAAGTAAGGCTGAGGGAGAGGGAGCTGCCTCAGCAGTGTGGAGTGGAGTGGATGTGTCTTAGTTAGGCTCCTTTAGGGGGCATCGTCCAGCTGAAACCTGCCACAGGGCCAGAGGTGCTGGGATAAGTGCAGGCTGGAGCACGTCATCTCAGCACCTCTGTTCAGCCAGGTTTCCACCAAGAACGTTTAAGTCAGAGATGAGCATGCAAGGCTGCAGCAATAGCTCAGTCTCAGGCGACTTCAGTGGCACTGATGAAGATTTCAATGAGCAGAGATCATTTGGAGGACTGACCATGATTTATTGAGATAGAGAAATTCATTAATTTGACGATTAAGCTCCAGTGATCGATCATGGCAGAACAGAATCCCAGCTGCGATGGGATTTAGGACCTAAAACCTATTTTTCAATCTTTGAAAACTTGTCCCCTCATCCGAAATCAATCTGGCACCCTTCAATATAACACGAGTCTCATTTTCACCGAACATATCAAACATAAAACGAACGACACTCACACTCAGGCTTCTGGTTGTGTTCTTTTCCTCCTCCGCAGAGGTCCTGTGAGTCGCCACACATCCACAAAGACGCGCCTTTCGTCTCTGCTTGAGCTATGAGATTCATGCCACACCACAGCGGCTTATAAAACAGCGTGCCAAACAAAACAACCAGCGTTCACCTGCGCTGAATCCACATCCACGGTATCCACAGCGGAGGGACAGCAAGGAGGAGCAGAACTGGCTGGGAAAAAACAAACAAAACAAACTCATCTGAAACATTTAAAAAAACATAAAAAGCTTAAGTATTCTCTGTCTTCACCGCGTGTTATGGTGCAGCATTTTTGTCAAGTTTTACTGAAACGTCACATGCAGATTTTATGGTGCACCTTAAAGATGACTGACTGTGTAACAAATTTTAGAAAATACAGTATAAAATCCTGGAAATACATAATATTTGACAATGGTTGTTATTATTACCGTCGCTATGATATTGTTATTGTTACCTTAAGTTGAGCATTGTGTGTGTGCGTGTGTGTTTTGCTGTTTTTTGTCTTGAATTATTGAGTTATTTAACACGGGGAGCATCGGTAAGGACTGGCCACAGTGTATGTAAATGAATAATGAGCCCGGCTGCCTCGGCCTCCTGTTACGGGGGATCTGTGAAATAAAGCTTTATGAAAGGGAGCGAGGTCTCCGTGTGTTTGTGTGCGTCTGTCGG